ACTCGCCATGGAAAACTTGCCAAGAGACAACTCACCATAGCCAAGTTGCCATTGCACAACTTGCTGTGGGATAATTCAACACTGTATTAATAATTTCATTGTTACTTTTATTGATATTTTTTATCAAAATTATTGCAACTCTTGTATTTCTGGATTGACATTATTAGGCATGGTTCCATTGAAATTAACTTTTATTCTTTATTTATTGAATTGTCCTGTGGCCAATTCTCCCACGTGTTGGCCATGAAAAGCTGTTCCATTCTGAAGTTTTCCTAAATTATATTCCTAATATCTTTCTTAAATTGCATTCATTTGCTGCTATTTATAATTTAGGGATAATGGTGCACAATGATAGCAGAATTTGGCATATATTGATTTACAAAACAGTCTTATTTGAGTTAAGCTACTATAAGGACTTTTGTTCCTTAAGGTCACAGGAAAAAAATGCTGGAGCACTTGGAACTGCCTTACTTGCAAGTCCTTTTCTGACCCAGTTATAAGACCAAAATTGGAGCTTTATAGATTTACTGCAGAAGATATGGAAAATCACTTTATTTTTCTCCCACTAAAATTCACCAGCTAGTAGGAAAAACATGCATCACTCTCCATAACATGGGCTGGGGCTTCAGAAAGCAATTGAATGCAATTTAAGAAAGATATTAGGAATATAATTTAGGAAAACTTCAGAAAGCAGCAAGCATGTAATGGGATATGAGGAATTTGGAGCCAATATTGGATTGGCTAATTCCCTTCTGGGTAGGAGTGACTCTACTTAAGTAGAGCTGGATTAAAGTTTAGTAGAACTGGACCAATTAGCATATTTTACTGATAAAATTTGCTTGTATTAAGCTGGATTTCATTTGGATAGGATGTTGTGTGGTGACTTTGCTGTGTTTCTTGGAACTTTTGTCTAGAAAATCTGAGGAAATGGATAGGGTGAGCTCTCAGATGTCCTCTGATACCTGGATAGATCCTTGTTTTTCCTTGCTCCTTTAAATAAGTAGTTCCCTGGATTGGAAAGTAGTGAATGATTTGTTGTAGGATGGACAGTGTCAGCAGTCCTTCTCCTCCCTGCACTTATTCATCTTGTTGCAGCTGCCACTGTATAAGACCTGCTGCCACTGGCCACCGTGAGAGGGTGACCGGGTCATTGTCTTCTGGGACAGCTGCCTGAGACTCCTCTCCACTGTCATGGGAGGACAGTGGAGTCCGGTTTGACCCCCGGCCAAAATGGTGGACTCTCTCCCCTCCACTTTTTCTTTAAACCATCATTAAGAATCCTTGGCTTCTTTCCATCTTTTGGAACCTTAAGATGTATTCATCCGCTGATCTCTTCGCACTGCGAGACTCCCCCCTCTCGCGGGCCTGGCCCTCCATGTTATCGAGGGCCTATCTTGATGACGGGTCTTGGAACCCCGAGAGATGGCATGCTGCGAAGAGGGGGTTGAGGGGTTTTCTATGTAAATTTTTAATGAAATTTTTAAGGGGTGGGAATAATGATTTTTTAAGGGGAACCGGGAGGAAGACCAAGGGGTTTGGGGGGGACGAACCCACTAGGGTCAAAGCCGAGCCCGGCACAGGGGGACAGTTTGGAGGGTGCAGGTCGAGGGATTGGGGAGGGGCTGGAGGACCATCCGGAGGAGGAATTTTCCATCAGCACGGTGAATGGGAGGGGCAGATATGGCGGGAGCAATGGCCCATATCATGTGTCGGGGGCTCGCACTTGCTGTCTGAGAGCAATTACTTGCCCCGGTCCCCAAGGCTCCGCTCGGATACTAGGTGGCTTAGATACTCAGGATCTGGGCCTTCGGCTGATGCTGTACAACGCCAGGTCCGTGGTAAATAAGGCCCCCCTCATTCACGAGCTTATACAAGAGGGAGGAGCGGACCTGGCGGGTATTACGGAGACCTGGTTGGGCCCGGAGGGCGGCATCCCTCTGGTCGAAATGTGCCCACCAGGCTTCAGAGCATTCCATCAGCCGAGGGCCCAGGGGAGGGACGGGGGGGTGGCGGTTATTATTAACGAGGATCTGGGTCCGAGGGTGACCACTGTGCCTCAGATAGCCGGATGTGAGTCCCTCCTTGTGAGGTGGGGTCATGGGGGTTCAAATGGGCTTGTTGCTTACGTACCTGGCTCCCTGCCGCGTGGCAACAGCCCTACCTGAGCTACTCGACGTAATAGCCACGGTGGCAGTAGATACATCCAGGCTTTTAGCCATGGGTGATTTCAACTTGCCATCTGTTGGTGAAACGTCTGAGGTGGCTCGGGAGTTCATGGCTTCCATGACGGCCATGGACCTGACCCAATTAGTTCATGACCCTACTCACAGGGGAGGTCACACTCTGGACCTGATTTTTGTCTCTGGCCAGTGGTTGAGTGGTCTTGTTATTGGGGATATAGACATGGAACCCTTGTCATGGACAGACCACTCACTCCTTCACCTGGATCTTTGAACCGCTGCCCCCCGCCACAGGGAGGCGGATCCAATTAGATGGATCCGCCCCAGGTGCCTGATGGATCCTGAGAGGTTCCAGATGGAGCTTGGGTCATTTCCTGCGGATCTAGCACATGACTCGGCCGAGAACCTGGTAGCCGCCTGGGATCGGGCGGCTGGTGGGTCCTTGGACCGAGTCGTGCCTTTGCGGCCTCTGACCCGGTGCCGATCCCGAGTGGCTCCTTGGTTCACTGAGGAGCTGAGGGAAATGAAGCTCCGGAAAAGACGCCTGGAGAGCGGTTGGAGGGCCAGTCTTGCTGAATCTGATCGAACACTGGTAAGGTCGCATATTAAGGCCTACCTAGTGGCGATAAAGACGGCAAAGTTTAATTACTTTTCCACCTCTATTGCGTCATCAGGTAATCGTCCGGCAGCCCTGTTTAGGGTGACCCGCTCCCTGCTCCATCCGGGAGTGTGGGAGGATCCCTTGGAAGGCAGGGCGGAGGATTTTGGACAATACCTGTATGACAAAATCGCTCAGATCTGGGGGGACTTGGACTCTGACTGGGTAGATCAGGGCAGGGTGACGAGGAATAGTCTTGAGAATGTTATCTGGGAGGAGTTTGACGCTGTGACTTCCGATGATGTGGACAGAATTTTGGGGAGACTTAGTGCAGCCACATGTTTACTGGACCCGTGTCCCTCCTGGTTAGTACTGGCTTCCCGGGAGGTTACACGAGGCTGGCTCCAGGGTGTTATCAATGCTTCGCTGAGTGAGGGCCACTTCCCCGCTGCTTTGAAAGAGGCGGTGGTGAGGCCTGTCTTCAAGAAGCCGTCCCTGGATCCGGCAATATTGGCCAACTACCGTCCTGTCTCCAACCTTCGCTTCATGACGAAGGTTGTTGAGAGTGTGGTCGCGCAACAGTTCCCACAATTCCTGGAGGAAACATCTTATCTAGATCCGTTCCAGTCGGGTTTCAGGTCTGGGCACAGCATGGAAATGGCATTGGTCGCGTTGGTTGATGATCTCTGGAGGGCTCGGGACAGGGGTTGCTCCTCTGTTCTGGTCCTGTTAGATCTCTCAGCGGCTTTTGATACCATCGACCATGGTATCATGCTGCACCGGCTGGAAGAGTTGGGGGTGGGAAGCACCGTGTTGTGGTGGTTCTCCTCCTTTCTCTCCGACCGGTCGCAGTTTGTGTTGGCAGGGGGGCAGAGGTCGACCTCGAGGCCTCTCATCTGTGGAGTGCCGCAGGGATCGGTCCTCTCGCCCCTTCTGTTCAACATTTATGTGAAGCCGCTGGGCGAGATCATCCGTGGCTTCGGGGTGAGATATCACCAGTACGCTGATGACACCCAGCTGTACATCTCCACCCCAGGCCACCCCAATGATGCCCTTGAAGTGATGTCCCAGTGCCTGGAGGCTGTGCCGATCTGGATGGGGAGGAACAGGCTCAAGCTCATCCCTTCCAAGGCTGAGTGGCTGTGGATCCCGGCATCCCGATATAGTCAGTTGACTCCATCACTGACTATTGGGGGCAAGTCTTTGGCCCCCACAGAAAGGGCTCGCAATCTGGGAGTCCTCCTGGATATGCAGCTGTTTTTGGAGGAACATCTGACAGCTGTAACTAGGGGGACCTTTTGTCAGGTTCGCCTGATTCGCCAGTTGCGGTCCTTTCTTGATCAGGATTCCCTGTGCACAATCACTCATGCCCTCGTCACCTCTCGCCTTGGCTACTGCAACGCTCTCTACATGGGGCTCCCCTTGAAGAGCACCCGGAGGCTCCAACTGGTCCAGAATGCAGCAGCGCAGGTAGTGACGGGAGCAGCATGGCGCTCCCATGTAACACCGCTCCTGCGCGAGCTGCACTGGCTCCCAGTGGTCTTCCGGGTGCGCTTCAAAGTGTTGGTTATCACCTTTAAAGCGCTCCATGGCATCGGGCCTAGCTATCTTCAAGACCGCCTGCTGCTACCGATGACCTCCCATCGTCCCGTGCGCTCCCACAGAGAGGGCCTCCTCAGGGTGCCATCAGCCAATCAATGTAGGCTGGTGACCTCCAGGGGGAGGGCCTTCTCTGTGGGGTCACCTACCCTCTGGAATCAGTTGCCCCCAGAGATAAGGAGAATCCAAGACCTTAGTGCCTTCCGCCGTGCCCTTAAAATCCACCTTTTCCAGCAAGCCGGGCTGGCTTAAGAAGGAATTTTAAATGTTTTAATTGGTTTGTATTTTTAATTTTGGGCCAAATTTATATATATTTTAATTGTTTTTTAATATTTGTATGCCATGTTTTTTAATTCTGGCTGTACACCGCCCTGAGTCCTCAGGGAGAAGGGCGGTATATAAATTTAAAAATAAATAAATAAATAAATAAATATTCATGAAAAGACCTTCCTTGGATCCAGTCTCCAACCTTCCCCTTTTGACAAAGTTTGAGACAAATAGCTTCGGATCAATTACAGAATGCCCTAGGGAAAACGGACTAATTGGACCCTTACCAATTAGGCTTTAGGCCTGGCAAGGGACAGACAGCTTTGGTTACTCTAGTATATGACTTTTGCCAATACCTGATTTGTAATTACTTGTCCCAGTTGAGTGTGGATAGGGTTGACTTATTCCTGAAGGAGCAGGTCCATGACTTGGCAGACTTCTTGGATTTGCGGCTCCTACTAAAGCAGCAATGGAACCTGTGGCTGGAAGGGTCCTTGACCAACTTTATCAGATGAAGCTGTTGCAGCCTTATCTGGGATGTCCAAAATAAGGATATTAACCACGTTTTAGAAAACATCCAATGATTTTAAAGGTTTTTAATAAATTAATTTAAAAAATTATCATTTAAAATTAATTTAAAAATCATTTATCATTTAAAATTAATTTAAAATGATAAATTAATATCATTTTTATATAAGAAACATTTTTAACGCTAAAACTCAAGCAGTCTAGGTTTTGTAATACAAACTCCAACTCCCTGTTCCACATTTCTTGCATCCAGGTTTATTCATTTATTGTTGGCAGTATTTAATAAGCCTAGTTTCTGTATCTAATGGATTCCATCAGAGGGGATTTGAAAGCAGTCAAAGCATCTGGGATAAACAAAACAAACGTTAACAAATGCTTTAATTAAAATTGTAATTCGGTTGGTTTTGGTAGACCACATTAATAATTAACCGATGAAGATTATTTTCTTTTCGTTTTCCAAAAAAAAAAAAAAAGGTTTTCCCCTCCATCTTTATACAAGACATACCATAGAATTGATTTCCAGAGAGATTTTAATTATTTACCTAATGACATATGTATCTAAATGTCTTCAATGTTAATGATTGTTGAGAATTCCTACTATGCTTAGAAACAAAGCTGGCTAGATCTTAAACTTGCTAAGTTTGAGAAACATTGACCTGGAGTACTTCCAACTGGGCCCATAATGGTAATATTAAGTATCACTCTTTCAATACATTACAGAAGTTTTAAAAATACCTCCAATTATTTGAATTCAACAGCTTTTTAAAATGGATATTGGCATGTGACCATTTCATAGAATTTGTCAGTGTGTTGAAAATATCTAAATTTGTCCTAATTCGGAGTTCATCGATCTTGAGGCCATAATTATTAATCTGAAATGTTATTATTTATCTACCAGAAAATCAGAATAATGGGAATCATCATAGTGGATCTAATAGTGGATCTAAACAAAAAAAAAGTTCTAAACATAATCCTATTACCAATTCATCAAATACCGGATTAGTTTTATTTACAATACATCCAGAATACCGATATGTACTGTATTGCTTTATTATCTCTATAAACCTGGATGAAGATCTTTGATAAACATTAGAAAGACCCAGATATTATCTGCCGTAACAATTTGCATTTAGCTCCTGCCAACTGAATGCCTGAAAATATCACCAGATTATCGTATTAAACATGTCAAAGGTTCCAACATCAAAGCAAACACCTAAGAAAGATTACAGCCATCCTTGACAGGTACATATTAAAGAAACAAAGAAATTAATGCCACTATCTACTCAGATAGTTACCATAATAAATTTTTATGCAAAAATTATTTTGATGGAAATCATTTTCCCTAACCCAAATATATTCCAAAAATTTAATTTGCAGTATATGATTTCTGTACTTCTAATACACTGTCTATAGATAGAAATAAATTATTCAGAGACTTGGAAGAAACTTGTACGCTGAAAAAGTATTGAGTGTTCCAGTGCTAATCAGTACTCAGTACGTCTTTCTCAAAAAGTTTTGCAGCGACAGGAAAAATAAAGACAGATTTTTTTTTCTATTTCTACAGCAAATATTTCATCATTAACTCATTTTTGCCATTTTAGTGTACTGTATGCTTATTTCACTACTTCAGACACTACTTAGTTTTTCTTACGCTGAAGTATTTTAAGGATTGTTATTGTATCCTAAGTGCTAAGAAGGGACAAGGAAAGCCTCCTGCCTTTCTACAAAATGAAATCCAAATGGATTAGTCCATTTGGAAGCCGAAAGATTGTTTCATATTTACAAAGCAATAAGACAAGCCACCTTATGCAGGTTATGATACCAAAAGAGATCCAATATTTAACTAGACCTTATACTATGCCATAGTTTAGCTGACATCCAATTCATTCTATAAGATTTAATTGTAATCTGCAAGCTCTAATATTATTAACTAGGTACTAGTTCATAGAAAACAATTTTAAGTGTCTTGCAATTTGTTTTTGTATAAAGTGTCTTATTCTCACTCTGATCCTAAACTAGATTATATATTTTTAAAAATTGGAATAACCAAGACGCCTTTCCTATAGATACCATATCGGATTTTATAGGATATCATGGCTAAAACAAAAAACTATTTATATTCAGTTCTTTAAAAAGAATTGAGAATTCAGCAGAAATTGAACAAGATACAACCCTACAGCTCCAACTGAACAAAAGAATTACCTATTTACATATTTAGAGACAGCCTCTCACTTTTCACAGAATAAATTGTTTTGTAAATTCTTTAAATAGCAATATATGCAACCAGTTAACTTGAAACAGAGTCAAAAGCAGCATTTCACCATCTGCTCTTAAATATGCCAATTCAGCTCTGCTGCTTAAAAGCCAATAGCTCCATCTAGTGGGGAGTTGCAGCCTGATACTACAAAAGATTCACCTCTTATAAATGGATACCTATATAAATTTAAGATCAACTTCTCTATCTAACTTTCTAATTTATAAATCACAATTTATCCAAATATCACAACATATTTGCTTCAAACTTCGATACTTTAATATTTTTATTTCAAAAACAAATGCAACTGAACAAAGGAAATACAATTACAAATAATTCAGCAACATTAATATCCAAAACAATACCAGATATTAATTTATGGGTACTCTTGTTCACTCTTGTTGTCCAGCCTTTCATCACACACATCGTTTTCTGATGTCTGTTCTCCAGGGACATATTCAGTGCCTTCACTTTCCAGTGGAACTGAAATCACGTCAGGTGACAAGAGGCAGTCGGCATTCAACACCTGCTCTGCAGTCATCTGATTATCATAACAAAGGAGTCTTGAAAGTAGAGATTTAACTTTATCATCCTTGAAAGAAAAATCCAGCATGAAATATCACTTGAAGCATAATTATTCAAAATCAATAAATGGGAATATTTATTTTGCAGTAAGGGTAATTAACATTTTATTATGTATCTCTGATATAGAAAACAAAGCTTGGTCTACTGCAGATGAAAGGCAAAACCTGCAAGATGGTGGCCATGATGTCATGTTCACATACTGTAAACCTCTGAACATGATGTGACATCCACCATCTTGCAAATTTTGAGCTCATCATGCAGACTCTCCTAATGTATACACTATTTTTAGAAAAACAAAAGCCCAGTCACTCAGGTGAAGGAGAGTGAGTGAGTGGCTTTGCTTCATTCCTTCTGGTCTGTTATGCTTGCCATGCTTTATCTTTAATGTTTTATATACTATAATTTCTTTGTTTGATTGTTATTAGCTGCCCAGAGTTATAGAAAATCAGGTGAGATATATTATTGTTGTTGTAAACTGCAAATTCAGTGAAAAAAATATTATAAAATAGAAAATCAGAACAATGAAAAAAAAAGGGGGGTACAGCCCTAATAAAAGCCCTAACTTTTGTATGTACACCAAACAGCTAGGAGGATTAAATCCAGAGAGTGCAAACCTCAACATGCCTGGATATCCTATGCACCACTGAAAAAATTCTAAATTATGGTTAAAACACATTGCAAATAAGTGAATCAAATACAAATAAAGCACATGTTACTTTCATAACCTTTAGACATCTTTAAGGCTCCATAAACTCCACTAAGAAATGGAAACTCTTTAAAAATTGTGCCTCCTTTAAAAAAAAACCCTTTACAGAATTGTGAGAATAGAACCTCTTACAAAACAGTATGAGATTGCCAAGATAATGGGTCTATAAGAAATTGATCCTGTATTGGGCTGGGTGACTATCTCAGAAGCTGCAGAACATAAAGAAGTGAATTGGATGTTCACTGAAGCAAGCTAAGTCCTTGAGTTGGATCTCCCCTTGCTTGCTGGAGTTTCCAAACTGAGGATGGTCTACTCTCCCCTTGCTTGCTGTGTAGGAAGGCATTTGGAGGCTTGCAAGCTCCACATGCCTCCCTTTTCATTAGGTGGGAAGGAAGCTGAAGGACTGCAGGGACCTGGAGAGGTGAGAAGTAAAGCACGAGATGGTTCAGGGGATGCCTTGGGAGACCTGGAATAAGTGAACCTGGATCTGTGCAGGTCTCCCAGGATCTCTCCCACCCTAAGGCACCCTATGCTCCATTTAATGACCCTCATGTTGTTTAACAGTTGCGTCAAGGACAGCAAGGTGTGGGGTTGTTAAATGAAGCTGCTTTGCTTAACAGCCATTGCAACATGCAACAGTAAAGTGTACCTCCAAAACAAAATTAGAATATTAAAAGTTAGTAGAAAAAACTATTGAATATATGCTTTGACTGTTTTTCTGCATACTAGAAACTAGTCAAAGTTGTAGGAAAATTGCCCTTGCAAGTAACACTATTACTTTCAGTCTAGTTTTTGTTTATATCACAGGGCACTGCCTGTGAAACAACATTAATCTAAAACAGGACAAATAATATGATCAGGAAAATCCTCTGATGGGAATAAAACATATTTAAAAAATTGTCAGAAGAAATGCAAAAAAACTGGTCTGTAAGAAAAAAAATCTAAATCACATATTATAATAATACTTGCTTAAAAGTCACAAAAATAGATAAATATGCATGCTTATCAGACAAGTTACCAAAACAAAAAACAAAAAAAAAAAAAAAACCCGATTAGTCCCAATAATTGGGACTAATATTATTGGAACAATAACTTGGATTCATTCATTCAATATCTCACTTTTATTATTTTAATAAACAACTCAAAGCAGTAAACATTCATAACACCTTCCTGTCACTGCGTTATTTTATTTACCAGCTGAGCTCATTATTTCTGGACTATCTGACTCTCCGTACCTTGCCAAGAATTGTTATCAAAAGCTACTACGCATGTCTATCCACCCACATTCCTTCACTCTTTCCTTTGTTCTCCTGCCAGCAAGGTCCGGCTTGGACCGGCAGGAGACCTCGCTTGCCAAAATGTAACAATTAACTTTTCTTAGTTAGTGAGGTGTTTGATTTTCTTTATAACAAATAAATGAGTTTTATTAGAAACCTTTCCTCGTGTTTCTTTTCAGATTATTGCAACAAGGAATAAGCCTCGATTCATCTCATCTCCTCTAAACCAGGGTAATTAGTCCCAGAGCCAAACATGGAATTAATAAATGCCCTGACATCTGGTAGCAGAGGATGGTTTGATTTATGGCTTTTTTCCTTGTTTTGTTACTTCTGATAAGAGCGCATAGGCAATTAGTTTTTAGCTACTGAGGTACGCTAATTATATTGCTGAGATGCCGAAACAGAAGAAAAAAGGCAAAATAAAACTAAGACCACTCTTCGTAAATGATTTGATTGATCTTTCCAACGAAGAGGTGGCAGAAAGGAGATTTTCAGATTTCCAGCCCCTTACTACAGCCACACGCCTGGAACAAGAAAAAGCCGTGGGAACAGAAATGGAGGGAGATAAGACAGAAGCTGTTTTTGAAGATGATGATTTACGACTGAGGTCAGTAACATTTTCTTCTGATCTTCCAAGCTCTGAAAAAGTCTTCCCAGAACCTTCTGAATTTGTAACGCTCGATGCAAGGCTAAAGCAAACTGCTGAGCAAAATTCCTCCCACGCAGAGAGAGAAACAATTCATTATTCTCCTCGAACCTCTAAGCTCACCCTGGATGAGCTGGCTATGAAAGCCTTTCGTGACCGTATAAAACTCTATGAACAGCAGCTATCCCAGGCAAAAATGGCTATATCTATGCTTGAGCAAGATATGGGAGATAACTTAAATTTTTCAAAAAGCGCCATATTGCCTTCTTCTCCGGAGCCAAAGACACTCCCCCTGGTGGATTTTGTGTCAGGCCAATTAAGGCAAAGAGCACTGCAAACGTCACATGAAAGTCTCCCTGATCAAGTTACACATGTCTTACATAACCACTCCTACTCTAAAGCATACAATCCCACGTATGCAAAGCTGCCCGAAGCTAAAGGTGCAGCACCATCTGCTGGCAAAAGTAATTTACTTCAAGAAGCTGAAATGCCACAAGTGTTTCCACAGGCCCAAACTCAAACACCCCCTGGCGGTGTTGGTGTCTTTTTAGATGGAACACAATTAAACTTTATGCAGCAAAGGCAAATGACTGCATCTCCAGCAGGTCATGCCAATATTGCAGGTCAAGCACAAATGGCAACTGGAATACAGCAGATTCCAGTGCATCAGCCACAGCAGCTACAAATGCCTGCGTATGTGCCCCAGCCACAAGTGCAAATAGGGCCACCTCCTGGCCCACCTCCAATGGCACAACCAAGACCATTTTTAGGTCCACAACAGGCACAGCAAATACCACAGGCATTTCTGCCAGCACAGCCAGCATACCAAGTACAGGCTCCTCACCAGGCATTTTCTGTCTCTCCACTAACTGGTGAGTCAAAACTAAAAATGTCAGGACACAATTACAAAGCCTGGGTCAGTGAGATTACACTATTGCTTCTTAGAGAAGGCACGCACTGTATGGTATTTAACCCACCTGCTCCACCTTGGACTTATGCAATAAGAGATTTAGAGATAAGGGCTCAACATTATTGATGTCCATGGATACTGAACTGCAGGTCACTTTTCCACCAAATACAATGGCCCAACAAATTTGGGCTGAATTGGAAAATTGCTACAAGCCTATTTCAATTGAATCTTCATGTTTACTCATGTCTGAACTCCACGGTTCGAGATTGAAACCCGGTGAACAAATTGGAGGACATTTGACCAAACTGAAAGGTCTGAGAACAGAATTGAGAGAAAGAGGCCATAACATTGAAGATATTCAAATGATCAGCATCATTATTAACTCTTTGAATTATGAATGGAAAGATGCTGTTACAAAAATTAACCAAGTCCCTATTGCTCAACGCACAGTGGACAATGTCTGTAGACTTTTAATTGAAGAAGAGGCATTCATGTTGGCCACGCCACACTTGAGAGGACCACCCGCATCAAGAGCTCCAGCTAGACGCCCCTTCCAAGGAAGGACCTAGGCTCCAAGGATGCCAAGATGCTACACCTGCGATCGTGTGGGACATGCCACCCGGGATTGTCCCCAACGAGTTCCAGCTCCCGTCACGTACCAGCCCAGAGGAACAAATTCCAGAGGCAGAGGCAGAGGCGGAAGACAAGGTCGTCGTGGTCCCCGGCGTGATCCACAAACTCCACTCGCCACATTGGCTTTAACCAATGATCCACAACCTCAACCAGAGTACGACAGACGACTCCTGTGGACTTTGGACAGTGGTGCAGCATTGCACGTTACCTACAGAAAGGAACTTTTCACAGAAATGCACGAGCCAGAACCTGAACTACGTGAACTTTATTCTTTCTCCAATCATCCTTGTCAGGTCAAAGGAAAAGGAACTGTTTATGTTGAAGAGCTCGATGCATTCATTCCTGATGTTTATTACATACCAACAGCAACCTGTAATTTGCTTAGTCAGTGTCACTTGTCTAGAATGTTAAAGTTCCAAGTTCACCACCTTGAAAAAGCAAGTTACATAGTTAAAGATAGAGATATTGTTGCTGAAACCATATTAATTGGTGGTGTTTATTACTTAAAGCCAAAGCCTAAAACACAAACACAGGCAAGTATGCAAACTCCAAAAAGGGAAGGCACAGGCCCAGATAGAGATGCTCCAGAGAGAGATCCTGTTGCTACCCCTAAGGCTCCTAAAGCCAACAAAAAGAGAGTTGGTAAACAGGTTGCTCAGAGCAAGCCTGAGGTTCCGCATAAAAATGTTAATGTTGAGAATTCACTAACTGGTAAACCTTTGCATTCCAGGTGTATCCACAAATGGCATAGAAGATTGGGGCATGCCAGTTTCTGTGTTCTTAGGAAGATGCCGGAGTTCGCAAAAGGTTTGGATCTAAAGGGGTGTAAGGTGTT